AATCGGTGTCTCATAATAACATAAATCCAGTCATATTCACAAATGCATTTATGATATTTTATTATAATTCACTTACTCCTAAAAGCAAGCAATTATAAAGTTTATTTTTAATTCGACAACTTTTCACTCAGTCAAAAAATATATATACTAGTTTTGGACAGTAAAAGCAATATTTATTTTTCCTATATTTGCTCATACCTTCACCATTAATGACATATTTTCACCGCCCTAATTTGCCCTTGTGGACTCATTTCCAAACCCTAAACTTATTTATATATATTTGAATGCACATTTGCCTTTTCACTTCATATTTCATAGCAAAAATCTAAGAGGCATATAGTGAATTAGTGTGTGCCATTTGAGTGTGAAGAAAAAAATTTACAAATAAAATTAGATAGAAACCATAAAGATGGAGATTGGAGGAAACTCAAATAACCAACATAAGGATACCACAAGAGCATCCGCATCCGCATCCGCATCTGGTAAAAGTTGCACACAATAAATTTGCTATCATTTTTATTTACTAATTAGATAAAATCTATATGAACAATGTTAATTTGATTTTTTCTTGTATTAGCAATCTAACATTCATGGTCTTAATTTAACTCTTTGGATCAACTTTTTTATTATTATCTTATATAAATACGATTTGAGATTGCAAATCTTATAGATATTTCATATAGAGACTGTTGTTTGAATTAAACATAAATTATTTTTTTGTCGGCTTTCGTATCCGATCTATTTTGATTACTTTTATATTTGTCAAGTTACATTATTGATTAACTTATGGTTTGTCGGCGCACGACACGCGTTAGTTTACTTTATTTGATTTTGCTTTTATGTACTTGAATTATTATTTTTCCTTTTATTTTTTATCTTTTTGCATGATATATCTTATGTAGATACGTCACAAAACAAAATAGTATTTATGTGCTTTTGTTTTAGTAAATTTTAAATCAAAATGACGTTCATGATGCAGAAAATAGGATTGGGATGGAAAAATTGGGAAAAGTCAATCTTAAAACAATTCTTTAAGTAAAATTAAATATTATGTTACATCTTATGGATTTTATTTATACATGTCTCTCTCACACACACACACACACACACACATATATATATATATATATATATATATATATATATTTATATATATATATATATATCCATGAGGTGTATTAATAACATAAAATGTGAGATGATATATAGGTGAAGTGTAATAGAAGAATAAAAGTGAGAGAAATTAATTGTATACATAAGTGCAAAAAAACAGAGTAAATATGCATAGTTCTCAATATTCTTTTGTTGTTGAAACTAATTAAGTGCAATAAATTAGGGTTATATTTGTTTTTTACATAGTTGACATACCATTATTTGGCTATTTTATGCATCGATGAAGAAAACAAAAATTGCTTCGAAAATGTAATAAAAAATTTATTCAATTTTAAACATTAACATTTTTTTTTTGCCCTGGCAATTAGATCAATCAAATTGCTGTGTGTGTGTGTGTATAGATATATAGTATAGTTTATTGAATTATTAATGATTTTTATCAAATTACTATTTTTCTGAATTAATGAGAGTAAGAGAAGAAAGTCGTTAAATAATATTGGGTTGCATTTACTTCATATGCTGTTAAATAAAAATATACAATTCATTCATTTCAGGTACAATCAACCCGGAGGTAGTAGCCACCAACCTCCCCGCAATAAATGTCGGCGATCAAAATCTAGCGCCACCGCAAGGCTACAGGCGCAAGGCAGATCTGTATATGCCGATGACCAACATCGTCCGAATCTTACGTAGGGCGCTCCCACCCCATGCAAAAATTTCCGATGATGCGAAGGAGATTATCCAAGAGTGTGTCTCAGAGTTCATTTTCTTTGTAACCAATGAGGCCAATGAGAAGGCCCACCGCGAGTACAAAACACCAATCTACCCGGAAGATGTAATCGACGCCATGGCCTCACTGGGGTTCGATGACTACGTGGAGCCCCTGACAGTTTTCATCAATAAATATCGGGCCGAGGATCCCGAACGCGCAACCTCGATCCAGGTTCAATTGCCGATGGCCATGCACAACGTCGCCCAACAACCGTCGGCTGCTTCAGTAGCTCCACCAGTTCCACCACCATCTGAGGCGCCAATAGTGATAATGGGTGATGGGCCGGTGATAGTTCATTACGACGAAGAAGTGGACCCCGATGAGTATATATATTAGGTTTGCTGAAGTTATTAGGAAGTACTTTTTGAACGATTAGGGGTACTGGTGGTGACGGAGAAGGCTCCCCTAGCAGTGGTGGCGATTAAACCGTTTAGGCTTGTTCGGCGAGGTTTTTCTTTTTAATAAAATACTAATGTTCTAGTTTGCAGCGGATATTGTGCAATAACTTTGGATCATTTTAAAATTTACAATTTATTTTGATAAAATCTACTAGTTTGCGAAATAATCAAAATTCTATTATTTAATTACGACGATCAGATTTTAACTTTTATATTATGATTTATTAAATCTATTTTGTATATATTGTATGTGCATCAATTTATGGAATATTAGGATTGTACTAACTACTAACTCTGCACCTAAAACAAATATAAAGAATTGATGATTAAGTAGTTTTTATGAATCGGACCAAATCAATTCTCTTATAACTTACCCTCATTAGGAGAGTTGGTACATAGTCTTACCAATAGGGTAAACGGTCTAGGGTTCGAATCCCCCTCGAAATATTATAGTTGCAAAACATGAATAATATAAACTTTCTTGTCAACGTTTCCTCCTCAAGGTTTTGAAGAAGATAGTGTTTTTAGAACTATACCCAATGTTTTTATGCTTGTTGCGACGGTGTTAATTCGTTCGCCATGCGGGTTATTTCTACTCAATCATAAATAAAATTGGTGAAAACTTGAAGAAAAGATTTGGAGATTATTTAATCTTGATGAGTTTTACTTACAATAATAATAACTAGCATTTCCCCGTGCGATGCCCGGCATATTATTTCAAGAGGGAAAAAATAATCAATTTAATACATAATAAGAAAATATAGTACACCAATATAGTAAAATTTAATAATGTAATTTCTTAATATTTTATATAACATTAGTTCTGTTAAGGGGAAAATACAGTTTGCACCCTTGAACTATGAGGGTTGTCCTAAATACCCCCTTGAACTACAAAACGTGACAACACGCCGTTTCTTTGTAATGACGTGGCGAAT